TCTTTCTAAGAGAATCTTCTGATCATTTCCAAAAATTAAGAAAAAAGAAGAGAAGGAAAAGCTGTGTGGCAGAAATAGAGGAGGAACCAACTGAGAAGGAATCAATTCTGATGACAATGTGAACATCTCCCTACCAGGATGCTACTGATTGAAGAAATGTTAAATAGTATTAGTGGGTAGAATCATTAAAAGATTATCCAAATGCTCTTTCAAGATCAGAGACTTTAGCAGAGTTTGAAAAGTACCTTAAAGTGCTAATTGTCTGTTTGGTGTAGGGTTTTTACAGGCAGTAGGTACCAGCCAGGCCCTGAGGGCATCCTGTGTTGGTCCAGCCCATGCCTAAGCTGGCCATGGAATGCTGGAGCTGCTGGAGACTGGCTGGGAACAGGGACAGGAGCTTCTCCTCCTCCTTGCCCCTGTGCTTTTAAACACAGGGACGTGTGGAGATCACAGGGGCTGGGACAGAGATAGGGCAGTGCTGTAGAAATCGCTCTAGGAAAGCTGTAACTTTGCCATGCTCAGAAAACAGACGGATTTTTCATGTTGTGCTGCACACCTGCCCACCACCACCAAATTGGTTTTATAAGGGTTTCACAGCAGTCCAACAGTGAAAAAGGCATCCCATATTTACTGTGAATGGAGTTTGAGCAGGGAAGAAGTGTGCTTGCATGCTAATTACAGCCTCTCTGTGGCTCCAGAGTGGTAAGAAGTCCAGAGAGAGAGCTCTCGAGCCCTGATTCTATTTTTTCAGCAATTCATGTGTGTAGTACACACAAATGTACTTGGAATTTTTCCTTAAACCAGCTAATTTGGATGGATATTTCATGCTATCAACATTTTCTTTCTTGAAACTTTGTTTGTATAGGAAGAATAATTAGCCAACAGTACTTCTGGAGCTGTTAATTTTGAGTGCCTGTCTTACCTGTGGGAGAAGCCTGCGTGCCACTGAAAAGAGGAGTGGTGCTCTTGAAAACTTCTTAACTTGAAAATTGCTTTTTCTCTCTGTTTTTTCTCCTTTTTTCTCCTCACTGTTTCCTTGATCAACTTTGTCTTATTCTAAAGTCTCAGAATCAAGAGAAAATATGCTTTTAAACTGTGATGACAGGCCATGAAATAAAGTGAATTAACCTGGTGTAATGGAGGAATGATTGACTACCATGGTGTGAAAAGCTGAAGGACAGATGAGGAAATTAAGGAAAAATTGTATTTTGGAGATGAGAAATTTATTATTTGTCTGCTTGATTTAATTTTTGTAAGTCAGATTGCTTTACATAGCTGAGGATGGCAGCGGTATGATCATTGCTCTGATGGTTAAGGTTTAAAAAATAAAGAAGATGCATAATTATTTTTATAGTTTTAAAAATATATGTATGTATTCTAAGCTTCCTAAGTTAGTGCTAATGTGCCCATGGTCCTACCCCCTACCCATAAATAGTATTTATGTCTGTCCCATGCTGTCAGAGGCCAGCAGAGAGGAGGATGGATGGTTCAGCCTGCCCTGCTGTCTGTTGGGTGCTCTGCCCACAGCAGCACCTACAGACATGCAGGGATATGAAAGCTCTGTGTGCTCTGTGCTTCTGTCACCCTGCCTTAAGTGCAGAATGAGAGCCCAAATAATTCAGTTTCTGCGTACTGGTCCCATGACGTTCCCAGTTCAGTGTCTGGCTTGAGGTTTTCTTTACTTAGCTGAGTGTTCAGCACTCTCCCATACTGGCCATTTATCTGCCTCTTCTTCTGGCTCTGGGAGACAGTTTCTTTCCCCCATGCATATGGCAGCAATTCAATATGCATACGACACCAGTCTGATCATATCATTTTCTCTTGCAGTAGTCCAACAGGCTGGGAAAAGGGCCAGGGAAATTTAAAAGGGAAAAACAGAAAACAAGGCAAACAAAAAGGCCAAAAACCATTTAGGAATTCCTGATGCCAAAGCAAGTAACAGTGCTGGTGGCACAGCTGGTGGCACATATCAGATAACAAGACACTAGCAGTGGCTCTCAGCAGCCAGCACTGGTGTGAGACAGGCACCCTGCCTGCAGCCAGGGGAGTGGGCACTGCTGCTCTCATCCTCACCATTCTGAAGGAAAATGCATGGGCTTCATCCCTGCTCCCAGCATTGTCACACCCCTGCCCGGGGACCACGGGCAGCATGGATTTTTGGGCACAGGGAGCAGGACCTGCCTGCCTGGCACACTCATGCTCCCTGGGCTTCGCTCCATTCTGGAGTGTGTCACTTGGTAGACCTTGCAAGCTCAGAAGCTCCCTAATTTTGACATGGTGCGAAGTTTATTACAATCTGGTGAAATGAGTCACTACCAAATCCATAGCTCTGCCTTTCTCTTTTCTAACAGGTTTTCATGAGTGAAGTGAAAAGTTTAACCTTTCAAGTAACAGCCTTTTTAACAAACGTGCAGTGCTAGAGCAATACAATATATCTATAGTATGAAAGGACAGAGTTCTAGGTTAACTATTGCCTTTACCTCACAGCAACAAATCACAAGACCTTTAAATGAAAGCCCAATTTATTAAAAATACTGTTATGCTAGGGGGCCAGCATGCCAAGGTAATATAAAAAAAGCTAGGGCTTGCTACTGCAGAAGTACTGAGACCTCTTGAAATCTGAGTATCTGCAAACACTGATTTAAATGGGAATGGGAGAAGTTTAACCCTTTGTAGAACCTGTGCAGAAATTTTCTATCTTAGGTCTGGGTAAGGAATATCTAGTGTCCTCAAAGAGTTTCTAGCTGGGATAAAGTCTCCAGACTAGGATTTAGATGTTTATTTTTAAAAATCAAATTGTCTAAATAATTCTGGTTGCAGATTTGATCATTTTAAGGCTTTCAGTAGGACTACTGGCTATTTTTCAAGTCACCTGAAAAATCACTATCTGTAACAAGATACTGACAGGTAATATTCATTCCTTTTTGCCAGCTTGTGAGGGAAATATTTTATCCTGACACAGGCAAGTGTTTAAGTTTCATTATGTCCTGCCCTTTAAAACTGTAGTCCAAAAGGTGTATATTCTGAGTTTTTCAGTTCAGTTACACTCATTTGTTTGCAATCTTACCAAGTAAATTCAAAGATGCTTGTTACATATTGTCAACCATCCTTAATTTGATTAGATCAGATCTTTCCACTGATTTCAATGGCTTTTGGATCAGGCCCTTGCAATGCAGGATATGTGGATTATAATTTCTGCCTATAAACCACTTTAGTGAAGTATACTTATAATGTTATATGAGTGCTTTACTGAGGATAGAGGCATAATAAAATGAATGTGGTTTATTAAATAAAATCTCTGTCCTGTTGCAATAGGAATCTGAGGGGTTATATCTAAAGCACATACAATAATTCAGGTGCTAAGGCTGGAAAAACTCCTGAGTTACAGCTGCAGAAATGTAGGATTTGGGGAAATACGCTGATATCCAGATGAAAGGATCTGACCTTTTTTCCAGGTGGCTGTTAGTTCATCTCCATTATATAAACACCATATAGTAAGTGGTCCTGACCAAGGACTCACCTGCTACCTTAAACCACACTACTATTATCATCTCTAATCTTAAATCTTATTTAATTCTAATTCTAATTTAAAACCAGGGGCTTATTTATCATTTGGCTATAATTGGAGAAATTGCTTGTCCAGATCAGAAGTCAATACTTCTAATCCTGCCTATTTGTTCTGAAGCTCCTGACATCCAAGGAGGCTGAGGCTCATTTTGAGCACTTTTTATTTTTGTTACCTGGGAGAAGGAGAAAGACCAGAGAGAAATGTGCAGTGCTACTGCTACAAAGTATCCTGTTAAAGATTATGGTCTTCCTACCAAGGTGTGGGCAAACTGTTTATTAAGAATAACTATTTTGAGGTTTTTTTATCTCATGAAAGCTATATAGATAGCATCCAACAGGTATATATGTAACTAAACTTACTTATGGATTTTTAAAATGTAATTTAATTTGCATAAAATTTCAGGGTCTCCAATACTTTCTATCCCTGATGAAAGGTCTTGCATTGTGAATGGTGAGATTATGAATTGAAAAATTGAATCAAGATTGATATATGTATATACATTCTGACACTTTTTTTCAGACCAGTTAAGAGTTTCAGACAAGGGCAATAAGTACTCCATATGAACAAAACCCATAGAACCATGACCCAAATTGTGCAAACAAGCCAGGTGAAGGCAATTAATAAGAAAATGAGAGGACAAAGGATGGTTAATCAACAAAATGCACCTTCCTGTTTGTCTCACAGAGCTTATAAATTTTCAAACCAGGACAAGACAGAAGGAAAAGAAGCTGGAAGTCTGGAGGTGAAAGGAGGTGAAGAGAAAGCAGTGGTATGTGAAGAGGTAAGGGTGCTTGGGACAGCCTGGGAGACGCTGAAAGCCTGGCTAGAAGCCTCATATTACGGTCCCTTAGGCAGAACAAAAGAACAACAGCAACACTTAGTGACAGGCTAGGGAAGGACAATTAAGGGGAAGGGCTGGAACAAAAACAAGTCTCGATGCCACTTTGAAGAAAAATACGTAGAGGATTTAGACTGAAAGCTGTGGTCTCCGTAAGCTTTTGTAAGTTGTTATGCTGGAGACAGCAGTCATGCATTTCACACGACATGAAGTTTATAAGCTGCTCGGGAGATGAATGGAACGGAGAATTGAAGGTTGGTTAAATTAATATAGCTATTAATTATTTTTTTCCTTCAGAAGGAACAAGCGGGTGGAGTTGACAGAACAATACTGTGGCCCCAGAAGTACACAATCCAAACCCCGAGCGGTTTGCGGCTCGGCTAAATAGTGCTGGCTGCGGTAGAATAAAGGGAGGTCCGGACGCATCATTTCAGGATGATGGTTATCTGTGGACACTTTTTCCGCTGTGAGCCGTGCACACGAGCGGAGGCTGTTTTTCCGCGGGCGGTAGAGCGGTGCCGCCGGGGACCGAGCGCTCGGCGGGCTGGGGCTCGGCCCCGCTCGGCGGGACCCCCTCCCCTGACCCGTCCTTACCGGCGAAGCCCGGCGGGCAGCGGCAGATGTAGCCCTCGGCCCGGTCGTAGCGGAAGGCGGACGGCAGCCCCGGGACGAGCCCGTAGAGGCCGGGCCAGGAGCGCTCCAGGCAGGTTCCGCCGGAGAGGCAGGGGCTGCTGCGGCACTCGCCGATGTCCTGCTCGCAGCGGGAGCCCGCGTACCCTGCGGAGACACCGCCACAAGGACAGGGCTGTGACACTGGGGCTCGAACCCCCCCGCGGGCAGGGACACCTCCCATTAGGGCAGGCTGCTCCGAGCTCCATCCAGCCTGGCCGGAAACACTGCCAGGAATGGGGCAGCCACAGCTTCTCTGGGCAGCCTGTGCCACTGCCTCACCACCCTCACAGCAAAGAATTTTTTCCTAATATCTAATTTAAACCTACTCTCAGTTTGAAGCCATTTCCCCTCGTCGTGTCACCACATTCCCTCTCCATATTTCTTGTAGTCTCCTTTTAGAAACAGGAAGGCTAGAGGGTCTTTAAGGTCCCTCGCAACCCAAACCGTTCTGCAATTCTATAATTCTGTGTGCTATTCTTCCCTTCCATACCCCAAAATATACACTGTGAATAGTAGCTGCAGACGGCTTCAGGCTTCGTCATGTGCTAAAAGTTTTCCTCAGCTCCTTGAAGGTGTGAATGTTCCCTTGCAGCTCCCTGCCAGGGCTTGGCAGCAGGACATTGATGTGGCTACTCTACATTAGTGAGCTGAGCTGTGCCATAAAGGATTTGTTGGGTCTGTTTAGGCAGTAACCTGGATATTTGTGTGGATAACAAGGCACTTCATTGTGGTTTAATACACTCTCAGGTTCTGAGAAGGTAGAGGAGAGCAGGGAGTATAAATAATTTGGTGTTTGCAAAGTGTTTCATCTGGAGGTTGAAGTGCCACAACGATCCCTGGAATCCTAAAAAATGTGAAGGGTTCTGCCTATTTTTTCCTTATCTGTTGCACCAAGACTTGTGTAGTGTAACAACACTGAGGCACTTAGGCCTTAGAGTGCTGTCTGTACTCCTGCATCCTCTGTAAAGCTCACAGACATAAACTGCTTAGAGAGACTTCTTGTAGTTTGTGTGCTAATAGAGTTGAGTAGTCTCTCAAACACAGCACAGCACCCGCTCTGTGCCCCCACTGGGGTGTGGGCCTGTTGAGAACAGCTGGGAGAGAATATAACCTGAGGGTTTCACTGCCCGACAAGATTTTAGACTGGTTTAAAGGTTGTGTTAATGAACACTAAAACCTGGGTCAGCTGCAGCAGTGATGCATGTGTCACATGGTTTGAAGGATTAAGTAACTGGGAGATAGCTCCCAGCTTTGACTTATCTCCTGTCTTGGCACCATAATGCCAGTGCCTTTTGTTTTGCCCACTTCTTCTGTACAGGAGAATAAATTGTTAGCTGGAAAAGCAAGTGACTTATCCGAAGAGCTCTGCCTTTTGATGAGTGAAGCCCATGTAAACATAAGGCCATAGAGGACCTTTGAGGTTATGGAGCTTAAATCTTTTATTGTATCTGGAAAAAAAAAAGAAAAGAAAAGAAAAAAGAATCTCTACTACTACCACTCAAGGAATATTTATAGAAGAACTTGGAGCTTACCTGGCCAACAGTGGCATGTGTAATTGTCAGCAAGGTCCTCACAAGTGGCGTTGTTGTAGCATGGCTGTGACCAACATAAGGGAGCGAGGGTCTCGCAGTGCGAGCCCATAAATCCAGTCCCAGTGCAGTTGCAGCTGTATCTGCAACACAGAATGCAATGTTCACTCAGGCTGGAAGTCAACAGATCTGGGCTTTGTTCCCAAACATGCACAGGCTTCTTGTGTAGCCTTGGCTCACAGCTTACAGAGTCGAGTCCAGCTCAAGACCACCATCTGGTGCTTTAGGAGAAACCACAGAAATTGGGAACCAATAATGAGCTTTTCCCTGAGTATCTGGTTTTGTCTGAGAAAAAAGAACTGCTTGTGAATAGGTTTTGATGCAACTGTAAGAATTATTGATTTTTCTTTTTTTTTTTTAATTTTTGGGAGAAAAAATGTTTGTGGTATTTCCAATGCTTTCTTTCTTTTTTTTTTTTTTTTTAAAGGATTAACATTATTCACAAAATGAAAAGGGGGAAGCAGTAAGTGTGTTAGTATCCCTTCCTCTTGGACTGGTAGAAATTGAATTGGCAGAAAACTAAGGAATATTTTTTTTCTTCAACTAAATTATTTTTTTTCCCTGAAAACCAGGCTTTTATAGTTAGGTTAGAACAAAAATGTCAGTTGTTCTCTTAGTCCCAATAACAACAGTAATACAGCTCCCTTTTGATAGCAATGCTACTGCAACATAAGTAAACAAACAAGTGTACATATAGAAATTAGCAACGTGCAGATATTAGTAATGTCTGGGAGGTTTTGTTTGCATTTTTTTCAGGAGATCTGAATGCTATAAAAAGCATCATTTCTATTCTTTGGTCATCAAGTATAAAGTTAACACATACACGTCATATGAAAAGACAGACTTTTGCAAGATACAAGTTAACTGTGCAGGCTTGCATGATCTTGGCCTAAAAATGATTACAGGAAACAAAAATTTCTCCTAGTTTCATTCACATTAAAGTGATACTTGCTGAACAAGATATAAGTATACTTATTTGATAATTTCTGTGCATAATATCCAATTTTTGGACTCGGAATAAATATATGAAGAGAAAGTGAAATTGTTGAACATAAAGCAACATCAGAGAACAACTGGCTCCTGCAGTCTAAGGGACCAAAAAGTGTAAACTTTTTACTGCACTGTTTAAGTGTGTGCATAAGCAGAAACTTCTGGCAGGCCAGTTTATTACTGGTGTATGGATTATTCTTAAATCAAAATCAGAGATGACTTATACCAGGTGGTATTTGAATTTCAGATATAAAAAGTAATTTTTTCCTGCCTGTGCCCAAGCTATTTTTCCCTTTGGTTCAGCATTGTGGAGCAGAGAAGGAATATCCAGAACTCACTGCTTAATGTGCAGCCCCACCCATGTGCCTTTTTCTTGGGTATCTTTTAGCATTTGACATTGCTGTTGAGCTTCAGGGATTCTGGATGGTGCCCTCCTTGTGAGCAGGCTGCAATTTAGCAGGCAGATGGCTTTTTATAGTAAGAGTGATAATTTAGATACTGTACCTAGCATATTTTTTTGATTTCTTGTTTGATATTTTCACAGTCTGCAGAAAGCAATACATCTAGGCATTCTTTCCTATGGAATCTCCTATAGACATTAGAGCTCCTGGGACTATTTCCTATGGAAAAAAGACATGTAGCATGCAGAGGTATCCTCTGTGCCTAGGCACAGTATGTTTTGTAGTCCAGCTAGGTCTGTAAACCATTGAGTTTAAAGAAGAATGTTTACTTAGGTGAAAATGTTTTTTAATGAGATCAGCTCATACTTCATTGCATTCATGAAACATCACTGGAAGGTCAGTCTGAAATTTGTGAGAGAATTTGGTTTGATGTTTCTATTTCCAGCTTTTTGTGCTAAATCCATTGCCTTATATACATTTCTGTGAGAGCTGGTGGCAGGCACCAAAGCCTCAGCTGCTCTGAGTCAGAAAACTCCCGCTTAAATACCACAACTCTTCATTTATCCCCAAAAATACACAAAAGAAAGGAAATTGCTGGACACCCTTCTGTTTTGAATTGCTTTGTTATCCATTCCTTTCCATCACATAAAAAATACAGAAAGACCTCCAGTTGTTCTCCAGATACCCTGCAGTATTACAAGCCAATTAAAATTGGTCTTGCATGTACCTCTGATTTAAAAGCCAGGAGAAAAATGAGCAGGATTAAGTCTGGGCTGAATGAGCATCCCAGTTGCTCACCTCACACATGTATCCTCAAAAGGCTTCCAGGTTACTACACAGGTCTGTGAGTGAGTCAGGTCCAAAGTGACCAAAGTGAGCCCCTCTCACTGCTGTCATGCTTTAGCTACACTGGGAAATAATAAATTGCTTGTCCTGCTCAGAGCCATTCAGCACTGCTGAAAAGAAGCTCTACAAGGCTGGTGCTGTGTCACGACACTGCACAAAAAACTCATTGCCAGAATATGATCTCTTACCCCCTTACTCAAGGCAAGCATGCCTTTTGCTGACGTGCCCTCTGGATTGATTTTTGGGGCACCAAAATCTTCAAAACTGGTTTGTGAAAACTGGAAAATATGCAATAAGCTACAAATCCTGTACTGGTAAGAGGAGCACCTGCATGAATACACTGGGGAACTTTTAGACTGAGCTTATTTATATATGTGTGTTCAGTTTGGGAAGCTTGTGCTGAGCCATAAAATCCAGTATTGGTGAGTGAATGTTGGGCCAGTAACTGTAGGTGGAGAATCTTACTTTTCCATTGCCTTGTATTTTTTTTTTAATTACTATTGTTATTTTTTGCCCATGGACTGCAGGTTGTTTTGAACAAGTAGCTGTTGTACTCTATACCTGTAAAGTTTCTGACACATTTCCTAATGCTATCTATTACTATGGTTACAGTTATTACAGTGTTTCTCTGCCTCTCTCTAATCCTTCAGTCTGTCGGTGTGGGCAGCTGCTGTTAGCAAATTCACTTTTATACAGTTTCACATATTTCTTGGAAACTAAAGTTTGGTAAGCATTAGAAACAATATTCATATCTAAACGACAGTACTAACAGCCAGGAAAACAGCATGTTGTAAATATATAAAGTATAAATATGAAAAATACACTTCTCATTCACTCTTTGCCATAAATATTTTTTGTCCTATTGGCTCTGACACCAGACTGGCATTCTTTAATCATTGTCAAATTGAAACTGAAGTTAGTTGTCTTGGGTTGCAATGCAGGATGTAACCAAAAGTATGTATTCTATTACCATCTGTTAAAACTTGGTGGCAGTGTTCTTTATCTCTTCCAGAACCCATCCTCCCTCCAGAGGGATATCCTCTGTTAATGGGCCATTGAGTCTCACTGCATGACTGATAAAATTACATCATCCCATTGGGAGATGCTCCACCCAGGGGGAGGAGCCAAGCATTCCTGGATATAATCTGAGCTTTGGAACACTGCAGGCAGCCTTTCTCCACTGGATTCCCAGAGGAAGACAGGACTCATCTACACCACCACTGGGCCTTCACAGGAAAACGACACCTTTCTACAGGATCACTGCTTCAGCAGAACCACATCTGTCACTCCAGGAGGACTGCAGCCAGCACCCAGACCAACAGGGTGTCAGACTGCATTCTGACTCTGTGTTTTTATTTTGAACTACTGCATTTTTATTTTAATTTTCCTAGTAAAGAACTGTTATTCCAATTCCAATATCTTTGCCTGAGAGCCCCTTGGTTTCAAAATTATAACAATTTGGAGGGAGGGGGTTTAAATTTTCCATTTTAAGTGAGGCTCCTGCCTTTCTTAGCAGACACCTGTCTTTCAAACCAAGACATTTGTGCAGGAGCAAGGAGTGAAATCTAGAATTTGGAAGGAAATGAGCTACCAGACCAGGCAGACACCAGGAGCACCTGGCTCAGCCCTGCCCAGGCTGGCAGACCTACCCGTTGGCCCCATCCATGCAGTGTCCCCCATGGAGGCAGGGCTGGCTGGAGCACTCGTCAATGTCGCTGTCGCAGAGGTCCCCGAGGAAGCCCCGCATGCACAAGCAGGAAAAACTCCCCAGGGAATTGTGGCAGGTCCCCCCGTTCAGGCATGGCTGGGACAAGCACTCATCGATTTCCACCTCACAGTTCGTACCTTCAAAAGCAGAGAAAATAAACCCCAGGCTTAGGTAACAGCTTTGGGTATCTCAGCAAGAACTGCCTGAAGTACAATAGTCACATAATCCTTTTTTTTCTTTATGCAGCTCCCTGGTTTTTAAAGACATTTCCTCCTCAATGTGCTTTGCACATTGTTTTCAAGGCTTGGCAGAATTTACAAAAGAACAAGCCAGTTGTTTTCACAAGAATAGGTAAAAAAACCTTTTTCTGTTAGCTTGAACATGGAGACAGGACAAACTAATTTTCAGTTTATTTAAACAATGCTGCTATCCTATTTAAATAGTACAAAAGAGAGAGACCAGCAGTTTATTGATCTCATAAGAGTCCATTTAAAGTTGGCCTTTAAATGGACCATTCAACGCTGACTGAATTCGTTGGGAAGTGTCTTGTTTAGCAGTGGATTATTGATTAATTTTTTTTAAGGCATATCAATGTGCAAGTAAATGGGTGCTCTTCAGAGATAATTGCTGGAAAAAGATCAGTTCTTTTATGACTTTACAGTTATTTGTGATAGTTGGCAGGTTAAATATACGCTCCTTTTTCTTATCTATAGCACAGTCCAGGAGACACTAAGAAAATTTAATAACAAATGCCTTGTAGTTCTGATTATTTCAGAGTTTTGTATCCTTATGCACTTATTTGGTGTTTTGAGCAATACAGTAATATTTTCAAATAATTTTCAACTGCCAAGTCAGCTTGTTTTAGCAGCTACAATATCAGCCACAAGACAGATGCAAAGTGGCAAATTATAACGAAGAAGCTGCTTTGAAGTGAATTTCCTTATTTCTTATTTTGGCCTTATTTACTGCTCTCAAAGTAGCAGCAGTATTGACAAGTTTACAGGGGACTTTCCTACTTGAAAGAAAAATTACAGTCTTGAGAATTGAGGGGGTTTTTTTTATTTTTTTTGTATAAGTGAAGTTTTCAGTACAAGATGGTAGGGTAGACTTTCAAAAGAGGAAACAGGTGTGTTTGATGATGGGTATCACTCTTGCAAGTTATTTAGGAGCCCACCTCTAATTCCTTGTTTATGCTCCTTTTGTCAGCTCTGTACTTCTGTGAAATTTGTACATTGTAACTCTAAGTATCTTTCTTAAAACACAGAGATTGATAATATTAAGCATTGTTGGTTCATGAATAATTTATTTTGATGCTTGTGAGCATCTTTGCTTTGAAAGAATAAATCTGGATAAGTACCAGGAAATATCTTAAAATGCCAAACCCAAAATTGCAGATGTTGACTCAACTATTTTTCATTGTCTTTAAACATTAAAGTGCAAGTTCCTATTTTCAGCAGTTGAGAAATAGCTCCTTGAGACCGCATAGTGGATGGGGAAGCTGCCAGTGGCGTGCCCCTAGTTCAAGGTTCATTGCTCAGCTAACCACTACTTTCAGCGGAAGCCTGCCACAAGAGCCCGGCACAGGAACAGTCTCTTACAGCTTTATGGTAATGTACATTACAGCCAGATATAGTAAGCAGTCCCTCTGTGGTCATTGCCCTGTGAATTCACTGTAATTATAAACAATGTGTTTGCAGAAGTGTGTCTAGTGACCGTAAATCTGCCAGAGCTTGTTAACAGCTTACTGTGAACACTAAAAATCATGTGACAAAACAAGCCCTGTTCAACTGATCCTCAGCTCAGCCAAATTTAAAACTACAGGCCTGAGAACAGCCTGACAATTAACATGAGAACATAGCGTTGTTGTTTTGGTTCATGTCTTTAATCTATCAAGCCCAGTAACCTGCCTTCGGCAATGTTGCCTCAGAAGAAAACTTCTCCCTGTTTAATGCATCCAGCCAATGCAATCTGCCATGCAGACAGGGGTAATCCCTTCCTAGCCTCCTCTGAGTCTGCTGTCAGGCTTTCTTAGATGTGTAGAAGAGAGATTAAAAGATTAGATCTGCATTTTCACCTCAGTCTAACATTCTGTCATAAATATGCTGTATGCCAAATATCATATGCCAGGCAGGGAGGAGAGCACCACGGAGCCCTGCCGCAGTTATTGCACAGGGATGCACCACCACGAGCTGAGGCACCCTGAGGTATCTTGGAGCAGGCTGAGGATCCCAGCACATACATCCCACACAAATGATTTGAATTGGAAAGCTGGGAAGGTGGAGAGAAGTCACATTCGTAACTTTTGCAGTTTCTTTGAAGAACCAGGGTTATTTCTTACACTGCTTGCCTTTCCAATGAGTTCTATTGTGCACTTCTTTCTACAGTCAGTAACAAGAAAATGCAAGTGAGGATGAAGGACACACATTCAATGTTTTCAAGCTTGCATACCTACAGATAGTGTAAAATCACTTTCTGGTCGAAGATACTAGAGATTTGCAGGCTCAGTGTCCTTCCGTGGGGACCTGCACATTCTTAGTATGGCTGGAAATTTGTAACTAGGTCACCCTTTCTGCTCTCCTGCACTAAAATGCTGTACTCGGGCCCAGCAGGTCCAGAGGGCTGTCCCCAGATTGCTCATTCTGTATAAAGTATTCTTGTGTGCCATTATTTGGATGGAGAGTATCACATGGCTATTTTATAGGCACCAGGATTGAAGCAACAGGAAGAGAGTTATATCAAAAATTAGACAGAGGGAGAAGTTGTGTTTCTTTGATCAAGGCTCGACCCTTTTGAGTTTGGGCATCTCAGCAGAGCTGAATACCTGAGCTGGCTAGGACACAAGGTGGGGAGTGCTGGTTTGAAAATGGAAAGCTGAGGAAGGAAGCAGACTTTGTAATACTGGTAATTGCTGTTAGATAGACCATGTTGTTTGCTATTACATCCACAATGATGTGGACATGTAGGGAGTTCATTGGGAAGTGATATCTCTACTTGGGGTTTTTCATCCCATGGTAGAGCTGCTGTGCCTCTGCTTGTCTTGAAGTGCCTAAGACTTATTTAAGATACATCTAGTCTTAATATCTGCATAGCACATATATTATTGATGAGAATACTGAATGAAAACTTGGAGATCTATCAGGAGTAAGTTCCTCAAATTCTACAGATGTCATCACAGTGATAGTTACCTCATAGTAAAAGGTATCGCACAAAGAACAAATCCAACTCATTGCACCTATTTTGTCTGCCACTGAAATGCTTTCTCCTGCTGTCTTAGACTGGGACTGGGTTTTGGAACTGCCATGCACTCCTAAGAATTCACACTGTTCACTGGCAATGGAAGACTGGCTTCAGCAAGGTAATTAATGCACATAGCTGTGGGTAATAACAGGCTCTTACACCATGCTCTGTTGGGGTGAATTAAAAGCAAGTGCAATTAGTCCAATGGAGAAAATGCAGTTGATTAGGGTAGCCAGAGAAACTTCAATAAACCAATTGAACTTCATTATTTGCTGGCTGTGTGAAACATGTCTTGTAAATAATTTCACACATGCAGAACATTATCATAGAAACTGCAGATTTCATGCTGAATTTTCCAGTCTTGGTGCATTCAAACCTCTTCCATTTGCGTAAGAATTATGTGTGACATTTCTCAGCTATTTTAAGAAGTGCTGCAGCATACCAATCACAGAAAACAGCAGTCACAGTCCGTGAAACAAGTAGCAACAGCAGCCAGTAACTCATGCATTTGGTTAGCATTGCAGCTATAGATTTACTATACCTTCTTTACCTCCATATCAGGAGATATAACCCATTTTTACATCTTAGGGAAATGAGAGGAGGCTGGATGACTTCCCACAGTAATTCATGGTGTCAGGCCGGGATAATAATGGTTGGCAAAATCCCCTGACAGGGTAAATGAGGGGTTTTATTACCACTGGGGACACCTCAAGGCTTTCATCCAGTAATCCTTCTGGCTTGTGCATTTAGCACAACTCACAGCAAGGTGCAAAAAAAACCAGCAAAAAAGAATGCTTCTGATAAATCATTTTGTTAAGTAGTTTTTTTAAGCTGATGTTTTACTGCTGGAGGAATGGTCTGCTACTCCTCTATAGAATTCCTATGATTAGTCTCTTTGCTGCTGGAAGTGGTGTCAGAGCTGTATGTCAAAACACTGTAGCCCCTTTTGCTGTGTATTTTAGATCTCTTCTCCTTCCTTGGTCCTCTTCTTATTTCTTAACTCTGCTTGTGCAAAGTGTGGAGCTTTAGTGACTTTTTTTGGTGAGAGAAAAGAGCATCAGCTTGGGAAACAGCAGAATTTCATGATGAAAGTAGAGCAACACCAGCAGGGTGAGTTTCCTACCGCAGTTTGTGTTGACCTAAATTTTTATTTATTTTTGTTTGGGCTTTACTATTTCTTTATGTTTTCTCTCCCTTTGTCTCTAAGGTATATATTCTGACTGTCTCAAACCAAGTTTCTGGGCTGTGGATGCAGGCCCGGACCCCACTAACAGCGCCAGTTAAACGAATACAGTTTCCTGAATACAACAGGAGGTCTGGGCCGAGTCTGATCATTGCAGAGTAACCATGCTGGTTGTTAATAGGTTTTTCCTTCCTTCTTCTCGTCGGCTTTTCCCCAGTTGTGTAGTTTTCTCCTCAGCTGGCCTGGGCTCCGACACCTCCTGGCAGCAGCGGGGTGGCAGGAAGGTAACAAGCTTCCTTCAAATAACATTCTCTGTGCTCATAAGGGATATTAACCACGGGCTGCCTTCCAACAAGAGCTGTGTTAGACACAGGAAAGCTGCTTTTTACCTCTGACTTCCCCTCCTGCATGGGGATTTGGGGATGGAGCTGTAAACCACATCTCTTATTTCTTATTCATTTGAATCACTTGAAGAAATAGATGGTTTTTTCTCCCCATTTTGCTGTCTGACTATTTGTTTTCCTTTGCTTACCTGATTGGAAATCTATCAGTAAAGTATCTCTTCCCTTTTCTTCTTTTAATGATTCAGTGTGCTACCTCTCACAGTCCTGCCCCTAAACACAGCTTTGAAATTTGAAGGGAGCTGTCTTCCAACAAGAATTATATGCTTTCCAGCAGAGGAAGTAGGGAAGAAAAGTCACACCTGTACCTTAATGAAGCTACACAAAATGGGATTATCAAAAAGCGGGCAGTTTTGGAACATAACACTTTTTTATATAACTTACATAATGTTCTAGTTGCAAATGAGTCCTTTGTTTCTGGGAAGGGCAGATGAGAGAAATTTAACGTGAAATGTCTAAGTTTAAGGGTATAATTTGTCTACTTGGATATAATTTTTAAATCTGTCAAACATAGGTTTTGATCTTCATAAAAAAACTACATACAGCACTCCAAAGAGAGCATTTTGAGACTATTTCTTTTAAAAGCAAAGGCCACTTAGCCCTGTGACATAGCTTGGTGTTCACAAAACTGCTGTGTATATTTTGGTAAATGTGAGATTTCTTTAATCTCTTTCTGGTGTCAGTAGTTCACAGTGATGTGGTTATCCATAGTCTATCAACAGCCACTGGTGCCAAAGCTGAAGGCAAGGTGGTAATACAGATATGGCTAAATACACGTGTGGGAAAGGGAGTTGAACCTGGAATGTGAGTTATCATGGCTCTACATGACCTAAAGGAAAAGTTGCTTTAATAGGGCTTACCTGTGTAGCCAAGGGGACAGATGCAGTCATAGTGCCCTATCTGGTTGAGGCACGTTGCCCCGTTCAGGCACGGGTCTGAGGCACATTCATTCACTTCCAGGTCACAGTGCTTGCCCTGGTAGCCTGGGACGCAGTAGCAGAAATACTCGTCCACGCCATCCCTGCAGAGCGCTCCGTTGCGGCACGGCTCAGAGATGCACTCATCCAAGTCTCTCTCGCACAGCCTCCCGGTGTAGCCGGCACTGCAGAGGCAGGTGGGCCCTGCCAGGCCACTTCGGCAGGTGCCTCCGTGCTCACATGGATTGGTGTCACAGTCACTGTCGGCTCTTTCACAGGTAGGTCCATTATAGCCAGCAGGGCACTGGCAGGTGAAGCTGAGGTTTCCAGCAGAACCTAGGCAGGTAGCGTTTTGGAGACAAGGGTTTGAGGAGCAAGGGTTGGAGGTTTTGTTGCAGAGCTCCTCCACACTGTCCACTGATGCATCTGCACAAAGGCAAGGGTCATCTTTATGACCAGCAACACATGTGGAGTTCTTTTGGCAAGAGTTTGACAGGCACCTGGAATCATTCCTCATGCAAAGTGATTCTAGGAAAGAAACACAAAAAATCCTGAGGACTTCCACAGCCCTGGGAGTAACCAACAGTGAAAGAAGTGTAGTTCTTAACACAACTGTGCTTCAAAACCAACAGCTCCAATTGCTAGCTATTGAGAAGAAAACAGGACTGGCAACTGTATGATGCATTAGTGAACTAATGAATGTAAAATGAAAACAATTATGAAAACTTGAGTAGGTTGTAATTTCCTGTTCTTGCCTCTTTCAACAGCCATGGTTTAGAGTGTCAGGATAGTTTAACACTATGTTAAGAGTATAGTTGAGACAATATTGGTTGTTGTCAACTGATGTCCAACTATATGGAAGAATTTAGGTATCTTTGGTTTTGTTTCTTTTTTTTTTTGTTACTAGAGAAAGGAACCACTTTTTAGTTCAATACCACATTTGTGGTGGTACCATTATATTGTGGTGGATGTTTTTTTGCATTGGGTTTCACAAGCTAAATTACTCAGATGCAGTTATAGCTCAAATAAACAGTTCAAACCATCAGGCATCCTAATTTTGATTTGCTGATTAGAAATACTAATTTCACAGGTGTACAGCATCTTCACCACAAAGAATCTACTGAGCACCTGAGATGCAAAACAGCCCTGTGAGAGCCCTTCAGCCTGCATGGCTGGAAGGACACAGTGAATATGGTGAAAAGATGTTCCTTTCTTCTTTACCCTCTGGGAACTGAGCTTCTGTCAGTAATTAAAGGCCACTTGGAGTTGCCTTGCAGCTGTAAATAATAACAATATCAAGAGCTACTTCTCGATTTGCAGTCAAGGAGGGTGAGCTGTTACCAGCCCTGTTCAGAATCCACCTCTGGGGTACATTGAAGCAGCTGTATCTGGGCCAAGACTCTGTGAAATGAAGCTGAATGTTCCTTTAGGAGAGAAGGCAATTTGTAGGAGAAAGACTTGTGAGCTGGAGCACAAAAGTTGCATTGAATTATCTGTATGTAAGTCCTGTAAATATATTTTTTATTATTTTTTATACTTTTAATCAGGAGCTTTGTTTGGCTATATGAAGGGTATTTGTCTTTTACAGCAACAGAATAGTGTGTTTGTGCAAACAGGGTGTTGTAGATGAGCTGAATTTCTCAAAGGAATTCAGATCCATCTACCAGCAGTCTCTGATTTCTTCCCAGTGCTTGAACTGAAATTTGGGAGAGCAGACACAGTGGAGATGGAGATGGGGCACTCAAAGAGAAATGGTGAGGAGAGATAGAGACTCAAATAACTGGAGTTAGACCAATGCTGATAAAGGCCTGGGACAGATCCCTGGAAAAGGGAGAGGGTAGGGTTGGTCACCTGAGGATAACAACAAACCAAGCACGGGGGAATGTGGAGGATACAAACTGACTAATTGTGGTATGTTTCCATAGTGTGCATTTTAATATATAATACAATTTAATCTGTTTTTCTCCTAGGAGGGGGTAGTGGAGGAAGAAAGTATCAGAAAGCTTAACCAGCTTAGGAAAGACTGCTTGTGTAGATTTGACACTAAGATAATAAATGGAAAGGCTGAAAAATTGTCTGTGCATAACTGTTATGCTTTCTGACTTGAGGTGTACACAGGCAGTGACACCAAGATTTAAAACCAACAGCGGTGTTAAGGATTACATAGAAAGCAAGCTAAACGTTGATTAGCAGGAGAAGAACTGGAGTGTTACCTCATGTTCTCTGAAGGAACACAGGACAAAAATAGTACTTTTGGATTAGCCTGCATTTAAAATTACCATCCCCAAATCTATTAACAATCAGTTTTGGGAGCAGATATTTAATCCTGATGCAGTGTTGGTTGCACACGCCCCAGCTCAGAGCTCTCACGGAATGCAAAAATTCAACACATTGGTCACATGTGCTGACCTGCACCACTTGTAGTAATTCAGACCCTTCTCTTCCTCAGCACACTCTCATGGATGTTCTCATGTCCTGGTTTACATAATTTTGTGCTTTACCCATGAATTTAGTTTTTTCTTTAGCCTGGATGATGCAGAGCTTACTGCTATCTATTAATTACAGTTAAAATGAGCAAAACTGTGTTTTTTGGGAATTTCTGGGTTCTGCATTTTCCTTGCACAACTTTAGGGAGCTTTCCTTTCAGTCTGTGTACCTACTTAAAATTCATTAAAGTGCATGTTTGGGGAAACACTGCAAATTTGAAGAAATTAATAATGATCAATTTATAATGTTGTCTAACTGTGGTACTGTGTAAGCTAAAGGAGGTGAGGTCAATCATTTGAGTGCTTTCTTACACAGGACCACGGTGACATCAGAAGCAATTTAGTTAATTATTACTGCTTTTTCAGAGATAATTTGCATGCAACAGGCTCAGTTTGTTATAATGACTGTGTGAGGACATGATGCATTTTCCAGTCTGCAGTTTTGATAGCAAGAGCAGCTGTGAGCACTGGTTAAAAACCTTCATAGCTCTCTGAGGCAGTAAGAGTGGAGGGAAAATGAAGGAAGGGGAAAGACAGCCCTAAAATCATTGTCTGTATGTAGTGAAGCCAACCAGTTTTTCTCCAGGGTGGCATCACTACAGGAAAAACACGAAACAGCAAACCTCTCTTTTTCTTTTTTTTAAGCACTATTTTAATTTCAACTTTTGTAGCTTTTATAAAATTAATTTCTTATGCAGAAATTGCCAACAGAGAATTCAATAAATCCAGTACTCCCTAGAGATTACTCTTTTCTGATCTGTACTACAAGTTTATAATGAAAGAACAATATTTTTGGCATTCTGTCTTTATTCTAATGCACTGTGCCATGGTTTTTATTATTTGTATAGTTTTTGAGCAACACAAGAGTTCTGAAGGTCTTAGCAGAGATGTAACCATGCTGAGTTTTAACTTAGTTGTGGTTTAGAGGCTGGGACAAGAGTTTAAGGGTACTCCATAGCAGTTTGTCTCAGCAGTAAAACTGCATCTCAAAAAGCTGATCATCAAAGGTATGCAGTTATCACAGCATGGTTATCGAATGGTATGAAGTTCACCTGGACATTTCCATGATTTTTTTTATTTTTTTTTAATGATGTTCCTGAATGATGTGAGTGTCTCAGCTAATCCTTGATTCTGGACTGCTAGTTCAAACACCAATTTCCACCTATTTCTGGTGAGTTATTTGCACTACCTCCCTCGCTGCCCTGTGGAAACTGTGTTTCCCTGCTGCTGTGGAGTGATGTGGAAGGATAGAGTTGGGAACCTCCTGAGCTGAGAGCTGCATGGAAGGAGAGTGAAGAGTATGGCAGGTGGAAGCTCCTGCATGCCCTGTGATGCGTGTGATGATGCAAAGAATGTCTCAGCTAAAGCAGATGCCTAAATATTCTCTTCTGCATTTACAGAAAGAACTGCAAAGGGACAAAAATGTTTCAGTGGAGCTTGGTTTTTGGCCAGGTTGTGGAAGGATAACCAGGAAAAGCCTCATGCTCTACCTCAGATGTGCAGAAGAGTCATTTTTCATTCCTAAGCAATTAAGGTCACTTCAGCAGTGACTTGTTCTGACAGAGTCTTAAAACTTGTACATAACGTTAGGAAAAATGGAAACAAAATGCTGATTGCTTTGGATTTACACTGACTGACACTTGAGGTAATTATCAGTCTCTTTATAAATAGTGGTACATTAATCTAATTATGAGAGGATTTAGTGCCAAGCGTTTTGCCCCATGGTTAAATCCTTGAGATGCAGATGAGATGGTTTGCAGTGAAATTCTTTGCAGTAAAGCTTGCCATCTACTGGCACATCATCCATACTACCAGGAACATGGCCATACCTGCAGCTATTGCAGGAACTGGCACAAATAACTTAATGTAAGAAATGCCAAGAAAAAGACAGTTTTCACATTGGTTTTTTGCTCTTGGATAAGATTATTTAAAGATTATTTAAATTCATTGAAGTGATCTTGTTAGTGTATGAATAATTGAGTTTATACAGTTAATCAGCACTAAAAATGCATTCTTTTGGCTGGTAAAGGCTTCTGAATGAATAGAAATTACTGTAGTGATACAAAACAATTTTTATGATGTTAGAAATGCATGGCAATGAGGATAGAAGGCCAAAATTGAATTAAGGAAAAGTTATTATAAACAGGGCAGGAATTTTGAAATGGCCAAGGCATTTTGGCACAGATAATCTGATGGTTAAACTCAGTTTGTTCCTCAGTAAAGCAGCTAATTTTGAAAAGCTTACCTACATATGTTTCCTGACAATTTCAAGCAATTTTTTTCTCTGATCCTGTTTGAATCAGAGATTTACTGAATTCATGTCCATTTTTCAAAATATTCTTCTAAGTTAAATTGGTAAGATTTAAAGTAAAGTGAATTGATGAACCCAGATTCTGACCATTAGCAATCTCAGCCACTCAAAGCCCCCAGATAAATCCTTTGCAATCTGTTTTGGGTTCTTTGTGTCAAAATGTCTTTCAGCAAAGACTTGTTCTTTCAGGACACGACTCTTCCTAAGTGTTGGTGAAATATCATAATCAGTGACAGCATTCAAAATTAAATTTCAATCACTGCTAATCACACAGTTATGAACCAGAGTCCACTTGGCTGTGGCCATGCCTGCACTCTGCTAATCATCTCATCATGTCTGAAGGCTGCTTGTGATTTGCAGTGCTGTTCTTCAAATGTGCCTTCTGACCTTGAAGGAGGACTGTGAGTTTCACAGAAGCTCTCAACATTAACAACTTTGGAATCTTTTACATATGCTGCAAGATTTTCTTAAGAGAGTCTTCTTAACAGAGCCAGTCTATTTTCTAGGGGGGGGAAAAATCTAGGATAAGATAGAGAACTTCTTGATACCCACATAGTCATCAGCACTGATGATTTTACTATGCTTTGAGGACTTTTCTCCTTTCCTTTTTTTTAACAAATAGTTATTAATTTACACATTTGAATTAAAACTGGGGAGGTACACAAGCCAGTGTAGATAAAGCAGGTCACAACAAAACCTGACTTTTTAATAAGTCATACATTTTGGGGAAA